TCACTCAGTGAGTATGGGCATCGTTGGCTGGGCCAATTTATTGCCAATTCCTAGATGTCCTTGAGAAGGTGGTGGTCAGATGCCTTCTTAAACCACTGCAGTCCATGTGCTGTAGGTAGACCCTTTGTAGCGCTTTGTAAAGAGTTTAGGTTCTGTGTAAAGTTAGGAAGATGAGTATGTGATCAATATGTTGTGTTAATAGCTGCTGGATATCTGAAATAAAACACAAAATATGTAGTAAAATATTCAACAAATTGGGCAGCCTTTTTATACATGAGGCATGTTGAGTTCCAGCTGTACACTCTCCAGGGTAACTAGAACTGCCATGAAAATGAGGGCACTTTGATGTTGGACTAGTTGATGGGTGGAGTTCCTGGCTGGTGCCCTGTTGTGAAAAGAACAAAAGAGGCAAAGGTAAGAGGAAGCCCTCGGGTTCCACCTCCCACGAGGTGCCTCAGAAGTAAGGGGCGGCAGGTGTCCCAGTCAGTCAGTCAAAATGTATGAGACAGTGTGTTTAAAAATGCAGGATATATGGTCATCCTGATCCATTCCTCCCCACCATATGGCTTCCCCTTGTATCTGACGTATATAATTAGCACCTACTTTCTCAAAGGCAGCTAAGGACTTGGAAATAAATGTTGTCCCATTCAGCAATGCATGTGTCCCGTAAATGTATTTTCTTTTTAAACGCTCCCTGACAGCATATTACCAATAGGGAGTGCCTTGTTTTAGCTAGTCCACCTGTCAGGTGCAGAGTATATTTCTTGTAGTTTATTAAATCCAGTTATTCTCACCTCCACTAACAGACCTAATACTATTGCTCATGCACCTTTTCACTGTACAGCTAGATTTTTGTTCTTGTAGGGCATGCGGGCATTGCTATCCTTTATTGCCCATCCCTGTGCCCTCGAAGGAGGTAGTGAGCTGCTGCCTTGAACTCCTGCAGCCTCTGGAGTGCAGGGACACCCACAGTGCTCTTGAGGAGGGAGTTCCAGAAGTTTGACACTAAAGGAATGGCAGTCCATTTCCAAATCAGGTTGGCAAGTAGTTTGGCAGGGAACTTGCAGGCGGTGGTATTCCCACGTATCTGCTGCCCGCGTCCTTCCAGATGGAAGTGATTGCAAGTTTGGAAGGTGCTGTCATTGGTGAATTGTTGAGGGTCATTTTGTTTTTAACAGTATACACTGCTGTAGCACTGTAAGGGGTGGAGCGAGCGATTGTTGAAGCTGTCACGCAGCTGCTTTCTCCTGGATGTTTTTAAAAATTTATTCATTCACAGGATGCAGGCATCACTGGCTAGCTCAGCATTTATTTTCTTTCCCTAATTTCCCAGAAGGCATTGCTGTTAGTCTGGAGTCACATGTATGCCAGACAAGGGAAGGACATTACTGAATCTGATAGGTTGACAGTGGTTTCATGGCCATCCTTAGATTTTTAATTCCAGATTTTTATTGAATTCAAGTTCTGCCATCTGTCACGAATCCGAATTCCCAGAACATTACCTGGATTAATAGCTTAGTGATAATGTCACTAGACCATCATCTTGAGTGTTGTTAGAGCTGCACACATCTAGACAAGTAGAGAGAATTCCATCACACTCCTGACTTGTGCCTTGTAGATGGTATTTGATGGCTGATCCAGTTCTTTCTCTGTTCATTAGTAACCCGCTAGATGTTGACAGTGTGAGACTCTGTGATGGCCATGTCATTGAACATCAAGGGCCAATGATTGGATTCCGTCTCTTATTAGAGATGGTCATTGCCTGCAACGTTTGTCACGTAAATGTTGTCTCAAAACCTGGACGTAGTCCAAGTCTTGCTGCGTTTTGAATATGGATTGTTTCAATAGATGAGCAGTCTGTATAGGGCTGAACAGTGTACAGTCATGATGGTGGGAAGGTGATTGAAGCAGATTAAGATGGGTCTCTGAGGAAATCCTGTAGTGATGTGCTTAGAATGAGATTCCCAACAACCACAACCATCTTGTGTTGTGCTAGGTATAACTTCAACTGGTGGAGACTTATCTCTGATTTCCACATTTTTTTGGAGAATCTTGATACCACAGTCCATCAAATGTATGACCATGCCGTCACTTTAAGAAGTTATTTTATCTGTTTTTTTTGAAGAGAGGTTGTAAGACTGAGGTGACCAGCTATCTCCAAGAAAGTAAACAATTTGTGAGGCCTTGGGTTTTTTTTAAAGTTGAAACAATGGAAGCAGCCTGGGTGTGGGCAGCTCTTACAGATAAGGCTTTCTAGTTTTGTTTTAGTGTTTTAGGTTTACTTTTAAGGTAAAGCCTTTGGGTTCTCAAGATTTGGAAGCTTCAATGAATGTCTCCTAACTACCCAGCAGTTTAACTCTTCAGTATGGGAGTTTGTATGTACGTTCTCAAGAGAGTCTGGGCTTCGATTTTTATCTTGTCTGAAGTTTGCCACCTCTGACCATGTAGCATTCCCTTGGGACAGCACAGTGCTGATGTGTCGGCCTCCAGGACGACTGGTGTGGAAACTGAACCCAGACTTTGCCGGGGAGCCAAGCCCCACTTAACCACAGTTAACACATGAAGAGATCTAACCATGTGCCCTGCTATCGTACAAAAATGGTGCTTTTATTTGTTTTCTGGATTTTTCCTTTTTATTAGTTACCATTTCCACAGGCTTCCCTTTGCAGATTTTTTTTTTTGTTTGCAGGTCAGAAAGATTTGGGAAAACTGAAGCCGTTCCATTTATGGAATAGTTAAACATTTCATCTTAACTTACTGTTTTATTTTGTATTCTTCTTCTGATGTCAGCAACGTTATTTGTTTGGCTTCAGGAGTATTGGAACATTCTGCACAAATTTATTGTAGAAATCAATTTTTGGGGATGCTCTGGGCAGAACTCCTCTGTTTTTGTCAAATAGTGCCATGAGATTTTTTTAAATATACATCTGTACAATGAGTAGAGGGCGTAAGTTTCATACCTTAATCCAAAAGCGCCTCCAGTGATGCAGCAGTCTCTCTCTGCATTTCTGTGTCAGCCAGGCAGTTACGGTTTCGAGTGTCTGAAGTAGGAAATAAAACCGAATCAAAACAATTGGATTTGCAGCACACAGGAAACTTGATGCCTGACCTGTCGTTAGTTTTATAGGATATGCTGCAAGGGTAAACTGATGTTTCATGAAGTCAAGAATCTGATATTGAAAATCTCAATGTTCTAAATGACTGTGACTCAGTCTTCACAGTGTACTACAAACTGTACATTCCAGAGTCTCCTTGCACACACATTTGATGAACCAGGTGTGGATTGATAACGTTCTGTTTTGGCAACGTTCAAGGACAGGCTGAGTTTCTTGCAAGCAGAATTGAACAGCGGTTTGCAAATCCAGAGCAGAGTGAGAAATAATACTGCTTTTGTCCACAAACTGCAGATCATAGATTTCTTTGTTGGTCACTTTTTAGTTTTTGTGCAGAGACAAGCAAGATTGAATTTGTTTTCCAGCTAGGCTGTGTATTTCATACTGACGCCAAAGGGTACGGGATTTTTGAGATGAATAGCTGCAGTCGGGTAGTGTGTAAATAGGACTGAGGCCAATAGCTAGCCTTGTTTGATGCTGGTCCAGATTTTGAAGACATTTCTCTGAGCCAGTTGTGGACTTATCCTCGTAAAGCAATGGTGAGAAAGATTCTTGGACATAAGCATTGGAGCAATTCCCACGTTTTGTCAGAAATCTCTTTTGAAGGGCCAGGATGAGATCCACCAACAAATCAGCTGCACCATTTCTGAATAGGACTTGTTGTCACCATGGTCCTGTATCCTAGTGAGACTAGGACTGTGTATCAATAACATACAATAGAATTTCTCCAGTACTATCAGCAACGTACAGCTGGAGGGCCATTGGCCAAACCCTGCTATCTGTAGTGATCGTAACGGGGTCAGCCGGGTGGATGTCATGGAAAACGAGTTCCCTGATTGCACGAGGTTAAGAGCCCCAATTGGAGCCCTGGCTGACAGATTTAAAAACAGGAGTGTCAGAGCTGGCTGTGACGGAGCCTGATCAGTGTCAAGGACTTCCACGTGTAAATGAAGGGTGACCTTGGTGATGAGATACTGGCCTCTGTGTGGATTTATTTCACTATCCTCCCTCAACCCAGCTCTGCAAGCTTTTGGGCAAAGCTCCTGCAAAATCAATTACAAAGAATACTGTCTGGATGGCTTATTCATTTCTCCTTTCTTTTACCCACCACCACAACCACAATTAGCACCCACCCCTCCAACTGAGACCCCCCCTGTCTGGCACCACACTTCACCTTGGTACATCCCTCATCACCAGTATTTCAAGGGCATAGCAAAGAAATGCCCTCCCCTTAAAAAAATCAGTTACATTAGTGACTAAGAGGAACTTATTGTCAATTGTTCAGAATGTCGGTAATTCATCAATGAAGCTGAATCATGTTTTGGATCCCATTGCAGAGAAAAGTAATGAAAATAAAGCAAAGCCTGCACTCCAGATTCTCCACTCTGTGTGGCATCCTGACCGAGATGCCCAAAGATTCTACTCTAGAGTTGGCCACTTTAAGTGCTGTGACAGAAACTCTTGGGTAGATGTCTTCCTAGAGTTGAGGGACAGCCAGCATTTTTTATACATTAAATTGTAAAACATCAATATTGAGTGACAAAATCAGAAATAGCTTGAAACTGCGGAAGGGTCACACGACACAAAATGTTAACTCTGTTTTCTCTCCACAGATGCTGCCAGATCTGCTGAGTTTTTCCAGCCACTTCTGTTTTTGTTTCTGATTTGCAGCATCCATAGTTCTTTTGGTTTAATGAGTGGCCTTTCGTTTGAAAGAAAAGGTATGAGTAGAAATTTTCAAGCAATTTACTTTTGTAAAATCTGTAACAGTTTTTATCACCAAACGTCATACTAGCGAGAGAGAAACATAAGTAATGGGAGTGTTTTTAAATGACATTAGGATTGTGTAATCCAGGTTTTGTTTAGAGGTTTCTGGTTTTTTTAAAGGTATCCTGCCCTCTGGCACTGCTTTTTAAATAAAAGCACAACTCTGCAGCTGTGCACCTATTTCAGAATGGAACAGACACTTTAACAGCCTCATCTGGTGACAGTGGGCAGCAGTTGACCAATTAACCAAGTAAGTCGACCACTGCTGTGTTTCTGTGAAACAGAATTTCGCGGTACTGCTGCATGCATTCACGTGTTTCATTATTACTTTATTGTAGCAGGAACCCCATGTATTATGGGGTGGGATCCTCCTTGTTATTCAGCTAAACTCTGCGTGTGTGTGTGTGCCTATCCACAATTCCTACATACCAGTCCAGTTTCCCTGCTTCTTTACATTGCCCCCAAAGTCTGTGTGTCATTCTTGCACGCATGGTAACAGGTTTGGACTAACCAACAACTTAGACTCTCTGCGTCTAGCAATTGACCTTGCAATCAACTTGCTTTCACAGCCATTGTCACATCATGAAGTTCTGTTCAACAGCAAGTCTTCTGTAACGTGCAGGAGCAATAAAAGGTAGAAATCTGACATTAGCTGTTTTAATCCCTGGCTATCCTACACCACACTTGGAGTACTTCCAGCAATTCTGGCACCAAACCTTGGGAAGAATAGAAACCTAGAAAGTACGTAGGTCTATAATGTATTGGCCTTTGGAGAGACCTCAATGCTGTTTAACCGAAAGGATACTGAGCTCTAGGGATTAAATTGCAAAACAAAACGCAGCATCGGCTGGGCAATGTTATGGAGTTTAGAAAAATGAGTTGATTTTGGTTCCCCTGGATAAACTGTGAACTCATGAGAGAGAAGCTTTTTCTGCTCATTAGAGAGTCTCAGACCATGCCTAGCACTAGACCTTTCCGGAGTGAAATGGAAAAACCCTTCTACACACACCGGAGAGGGAGTATTTGGGAATACTCTTCCGTAAATGGCAATTGTTGTTAGATCAATTGTTAATTTTATATCTGAGATTGATGGACTATTTTTAACCAAAAGTAGGGATATGGGAAGTAAGGCCAATTATTTAGATCTCGTCTCTTGGATCTAAATGGTCAACTCCTGTTGATGTTCCTGCACTCGTGTTCCATTCGCTTGGTTGTTATCCATAGTTAATTTCTGTGAAGAAATTGCATTGATTGTATTTAACAACAGACCCATGAGAAAAGTTATAGCTCATGGATAAAAGGGGCAGTAGCAAAGTGGAGGGACAGGATACTGAGAATGATGATCAATGGATATTTTTCAGGCTGGGGTAAAATCTGTAGGGTTTGACATTGATACCCTTGCATTTCCTGATGTATTTTAATGAGCTTGATCTTGGTATCTGTGGAACGGTTTTAACGTTTGCAGATTGTACAAAACTTGGTAATGTTATAAACTGAGGACAGGGTGGAACTCCAGAAAGACATGACAAGTCGGTGGAGTTGGTAGATAGGTGGCAAATGAAGTTCAGTGTGGAGAAGTGAGGTGATCCATTTTGTAAGGAAGTACATGGAGAGACAGCATGAAATAAGGGCTACAATACTTGGGCTGGTGCACAGGGACCTGGTTATATATGTGTATAGATCAATGAAGGTAGTGAGACAGGTGGAGAGAGATGGATGAAGCATACAGTATCCTCCGATCTATTAATATGAGTGGAGTACAAGAGCAAGGAGGTGATACTGAACTTACAAGACACGTTTTAGACCTCAGGGAGTATTGTGTACAGTTTAGGATGCCACTCTATGGGAAAGATGTGAATGCATTGGAGAGAGTGCTGAAGAGGTGTACAACAATGGTTACCTGGATGAGAAACATCAGTTGTGAAAATAAATTGGAAAGTTTGGGACTGTTCTTGAAGAGAAAATGGATTAGAGGTGACCTGATAGAAGTTTTCAAAATTGGGAGAGATCTGGATAGAGTAGGTAGGGAGAAGCTGTTCTCACTAATAATTGGACTGACAACTAGAGGGTATATATTTGCAAATCACTTCGAAATCTAACAGATGTATTGTATTGTTGGAATGGGGAGGGGGGAGATGGGAGAAAATTCCTTTTTCGCACAATATGTGGTTTGGGTATGGAACGCACTGCCTTGAAACCTTGGGGAGCAGAGTCAGTTGAGGCATTAAATGATTGATTGATTGTTTCCGGTCAAATAATGTTCAAGGGTATGGGGTAAAGGCAGGAGATCGGCGCTAAATCAGTGGAGAGTAAATGCAGCTATAGTGGGCTGGATGGCCACTTCTTGCACTGTTACAATTCTGATTTTTTTTTTGACAACCTAAACTAGTTGCTGTGAACGTATTTGAATTAAGCCTTGTGTGAAATGATTGAGAAAGGAATTCTTTCTGTAAAGGATTGCTTTTGGGATTAATGGGATTGTATTTTATGCAGTGTTTTGAAGGCTTTAAAATTGTTGTGTAAATAATGTGGTTTATTTGTTTTTTTTCCCATCCTTTTGTGTGATAACATTCTATTCTATTGGAAAAGCCAAATCTCCAGTATTACATGCCAGTGTTTCAGTGAAAACCCACTTTAAGACCAAACAAAGGGAACGTATGATCTATCAAGCCAGATTGTATGATCTGTAACATCTTTGGTCATCTTCGTTGACTTAGACTGCGCATACAATCTAAACTCTGGAAATACTGCTGCAATCAGACTTGACAATATGTGAGGGTAACTTGTCCCAAGAATTTGCCCCTCAAACTGTTGCAATTCTCTCTGCAATCAAATGCCTCCATCCTGCTGTTCCTTTTCATAGAAACACAGGGTCTGTTTCCGTGCTGTCTGACTCTTTGGTCTAACCAGTTCATGCTGACCATAATCCCAAACTAAACTAGTCCCACCAGTGTGCTCCTGGCCCATATCCCTCCAAACTTTTCCTATCTGTGTACTTATCCAAATGTCTTTTAAATGTTGTAATTGTGTCCACATTCACCACTTCCTCAAGGAATTCATTCCACAAATGAGCCACCCTCTCTGTATAAACAAAAAATTGTTCCTCGTGTATTTTTTAAATCGCTCTCCTCTCATCTTAAAAGTGTGCCCCTTAGTCTTAAAATGCCCCATCCTAGGGAAAAGACAACTACCATTAACTCTATCTGTACCTGTCGTTATTTTATAAACTTCTATAAGGTCATGTCTCAACTTCCTACGCTCCAATGAAAAAGGCCCAGTCTATCCAGCCTTTCTTTATAACTCAAACCTTCCATACCCGGCAACATCCTGGTAAATCCCTTCGAAATCCTCTCCAGCTTGACAATATCCTTTCTCTATGTGGACAAACAGAACTCGACACAATATTCCAGAAGAGGCCTCACCAATGTCCTGTATAACCTCAACATGACTTCCCAACTCCTGTACTCAAAGGACTGAGCAATGAAGGCAAGCGTGCCAAACGCCATTTTAACCATCCTGTCTATATGTGACACAAGCTTCATTAGGAGGTGTGGGTGTCATTGGCTAGTCAGAATTTATGGCCCATCCCTAGTTACCTTTGAAAAGGTGGTGGTGGCCTACTGCCTTGAACCACTGCAGTCTAATTGATGTACATAGAGTCACAACTTTAGGGAGAGAGATTCAGGATTTTAACCTGATGACACTGATGGAACAGTGGTATGTTTCCAAGTCAGGATGGTGAGTGGCTTGGAGGGGAATTTGCTGGTGGTGGTATTCCATGTAACTGCGGTCCTTGTCCTTCCTAGATGGAAGTGGTCGTGGGTTTGGAAAGTGCTGTCTAAGGATCTTTGGTGAATTACCATTTTGTAGATAGACACACTGCTGCTACCGAGAGTCAGTGGTGAAAATGGTGCTGAGCATTGTACAGTCAAAAGTAAACATCGCCATTTCTGACCTCTTGAGGGAGGGAAACTTAGTGATGAAGCAGCTGAAGATGGTTGGGCCTAGGATGCTAACCTGAGGAACTCCTGCAGAGGTGACCTGGAGCTGAGATGATTAACTTCCAACAACCACACTGTCTTCCTTTGTGCCAGGTATGACTCCAACCAGCGGAATGCTTTCTCCCAGTTCCCACGGAGGTTCGTTTTGGGAGGGCTGTTTGATCAAGGATTGTAAATCTCACTCCACATCTGTTGAGCATTGGAACAGGAGAAGGCAATATAGCCCATCTAAACTACTTTGCCATTCAATTAGATTGTGCCTGCTCTGTATTTTGCCTCAATTAGCCCCTTGCTTTTTTTGTGTAACCCATTAGTACACTTGCCTAATAATTTTTTTTTCTATTTATTCATTTGTGGGATGTGGGTGTAGCTAGCTGGTCAGCAGGCATTGCCCCATCCGTAGCTGCCCTTGAGAAGGTGGTGGTGAGCTGCCGCCTTCAACCACTGCAGTCCACCTGTTGTAGGTTGACACACAATGCCATCTGGGAGGGAATTAACCCAGCGACCGTAAAGGAACTGTGATATTTCCAAGTCAGGACAGTGAATGACTAAGAGGGGAACTTGAAGGTGGTGGTGTTCCCACCTGTTGCCCTTGCCCTTCTAGATGGAAGGGGTCATGAGTTTGGAAGGTGCTGTGTGAGGATCTCTGGTGAATTTCTGCAGTGCATCTTGTAGATAGCTCAGTAGCAGCAGTGTGTACTATTAATAAAAAAAACTTACCTCAGTGTTGAAGTTTTCGATATGCCCCCTAGCCTTAGGTGTTGCCTGGGAGAGACAGAGTTGCAGATTGTCATGGTCCTTCCTTTTTTGTGTGAAGAAATGTTTCCCGATATCGCCCTTGAGTGGCCTAACTTGCATGCTGAGGCAATTCCTCTTGTTTTGAATTCCCCCCACCTGAGAAAATGATTTTTCTCATTCCTCAATCTGCCAGAAGGTATTAGGAACTCCAAGATGCTCCCATGAAGTAGATGCACTGTCTAGTTTCAGTGATCACTTCACTTTCATATGCTGTTTTTTTTCTCTGAAACATTCCATGTACAATGCTATTTTAATGACAGCAATACTTCCAGGTGACTACATTCACGAGGGAATTTTGAAAGCTGTGTATACCAGTTAGAATTTGTATTCACATTTTGATGACACAGGTATTTGAACAGTTTCAAAATCTGCTGTCCTCGTTCTTTTTTTTCAAATTGTGACATATCTAATTTTCAGTCTAGCTCATTGGTATTGTCACTGTGTTATGAAA